GGCTTGTGTTGGTCCTTCACGACTCCCTGGTTGGGGTCTGAGAGATGGTGCTACACAGTGGCTAGAGACGTTATCAGATATGGCTCAGAATAGAAGCCAGTGGCGATCGTGCTGTAACCTTCTTTTACTTTCTTCATAAAAAGTAGTTGTATCTTCGTGAACTGAAAGATTTCTTCTGATTGTACCTTTCTGTTCCCTCATGATTACTATTATTATTGTTACACTATCTTACACTAATCTGGTCGTTATTGTTATTTTTTCTTTCACGCTCCATACCCTTTTTTCTCTTCCCATTCTCATTGTTTTGTGTGGCGCATATATATTGGCGCTCTCTTGTACCAATATTTATGTGTGCAAATAAATCATTATTAACCTTTTTCGTTGGAATATTTCACTGAAAACACGTCTCGCAAGCTCACTGGTTTTCTTGAATTCATGTATGTCTATGTACTTGCGTATGTAGATAATGTGATATGGGTTTTTGTGATATAGAATGTGATTGGAGGTGTGTAGGGTATCTATATATCTATCTTTATCCATTTTTCCTAGTCTATTACTCAGTTGTGTGTTTGTTTTTATCTCTCGGCCAATGGGGAACCTAATTTCTCATATACAATAATGATCAATATTTACTCGCTCAAACCTTTTTTCTTGTAAAATGGTTATGTTTATTTAAAGTATATGTGATATATTAGCGCAATACATTTCGAACAATCTGGTCACACATATACTTGTTAAGAGCATTTATATATAAAAATAAAAGGTCAACTAGACAGGAAACGGGGTAAGAGGAGATAAGGATAATGATAAGAGTAATAATAATAATAATAATGTGAACACAATTTGAAACCTAATCACTCTGGATAATAAGTCAATATTACCAGGGTAGGTTTAAGGTAAGAACAAACTGTTTTTGAACACATAAAGGGGGTTTGAATTTTCGTATGGCTAAGGCTTCAATGAACCTTAGTATACGCCCTTTTACACTTTTATACAGCACTACGAAAGCTCAATTTAGATCAATCTCGTGACCTGTTTCAATTATATGTTTAGCAATAGAGGATGATGGATGTTTATCCTCTGCTCTTATCGGTTCACTTGATTGTATTTGATTCTGAAGCCATTTGGGTACATGTTCACTCACCCTATATAAATGCTCTTAACAAGTATATGTGTGACCAGATTGTTCGAAATGTATTGCGCTAATATATCACATAGTTCTGATAATCTTCGTCTTCTCATTGCATTATCGAAATAAAGTATATGTGTTGTAAACCGTTGCTATACAGAAATATATATATATCGAATTTGTATAGGTACATTTAACAATAATAATTACTGTCTTGTTTTTTTTTAGGAATAAAATATCCATGTAGTCAGTGTAACAAAAAGCTTTCTACGAAATATATTTTAGATGTACACACAAAAGCTATTCATGAAGGTGAGTAACGCTCGTGATAATATTGTTTTGCTATAAAGTTGTATTGTATATCATTCTAAATGGATTAATTTAAACAAATTCTGTGTAACTTTTCGTCCTATTCCAATGGTAGAGTTAGATAAGACTGATCAATCTCACCATTCCTTGTTAACTTTCCTATTGATGATGTTCTAGAAACAGCTCTAATAGAATTAGGTGGTGGTGGTGGTGTTGTAGATCTGTTACTTAGAGAATGACTTAGATTTTGGGTATAAGGATGACATCGTTTTGAGATGCGATAATACACAAACTATACAGATCTCACTCAATCAGTTAACAGTTAATGTCTACCAGTACGGCATGTATCTCGGACCCTACAAATCCAAATTGCTTCTACAAGACTGACATGAACACCTATGCTTGCACTCACTATATTTAGTAACCCATTAGAAGTAATTTAGAAGCTTGTGTAGATATGTGACTGCTAGTAATTGCGTCACAGTTGAAGCTGATCTCTTTAGTAGTACTCACCGTCACTTTTCTTTCTTAACAGCTCTACCTCTATATTTGTAGGGCACATTCTACTCTTTGTACTCAATTGTAGCATTAATCAATGTAAACCATTGTTACCTAGGTGTAATATTTTAACTATTTATAGGGACGGATCGAAATTTCAATTGTTCTACACATTGTGCGTTCACTTTAAATTCATGGTTTTGCGGGTGGGTGAGGGTGGTAACAGTCACCTGAACCCATAGAAATGTTTTCATATTTATTTATTTATTTGAACACATAAATATTGGTACAAGAGAGCGCCAATATATATGCGCCACACAAAACAATGAGAATTTAAAGAGAAGGAAAAAGGTAAGGGGGTTAAAAAAAGAGAACAATAACGAAGAGATTGGTGTAAGGCAGTGTAATAATAATAATAGTAATCATGAGGGAACAGAAAGGTACAATCAGAAGAAATCTTTCAGTTCACGAAGATACAACTACTTTTTATGATGAAAGTAAAAGAAGGTCACAGCACGATCGCCACTGGCTTCTATTCTGAGCCATATGTGATAACGTCTCTAGCCACTGTGTAGCACCATCTCTCAGACCCCAACCAGGGAGTCGTGAAGGACCAACACAAGCCAGTCCTTTGCAGCTTTCTTTCATGCCACGACACCATGTCATGCACTGACCACCTCTCCGCTTATTCCAACCATTCACAGAGTCGGTAAATAATGCACGACGTGGAATTCGCTGGAACGACATTCGTAGAACATGTCCAAGCCACCGAAGTCGGTGTTTCAAGATGGCGACACCGATTGCATTATCATCTCTGTGCCCGAACACACGATGCCGAACCTCTGTATTACTAACATGGTGTTGCCACTGCTGTATAAGTCGAAAAAAATAAGTATAGACAGAGTAGGAATAAAAGAGGGTGAATAATGTAGTAAATAACAATAATCGTTATAATAATAATAATAATAATAATAATAATAACTTGAATCATTTGATTGTTAGTTGAAGCAGGAAAAGTAATTTCCATAATTATAGGCAGTTCATCATTTGTGTGTGGGCTGTGATACCGCCCGTGTGCCCAGACCGAAGTAGGTGGTTATCTTAGGGAGCCACACCCCGAGCCTTCGACCTGAAGGTCTAACCCACAAGGCAGTGGAGCATCGTATGGAGATGCAGTCCCATGGTAGCCGGTGACCAACGATTGGTTCATACGCCATTTGTTCCCTCAGGATACTGGAGCCCATGTGCACCATTGATTTGGTTTGGGATCAGGTTAAAGCGCCGGACATTCGCTTTTCAGCCTCTCATTTTTGTAAACAACACCCCCGTCACGAGAAGACAATGAGTAGGACTTCCCTGGCAGAGGCTGTATACGCGTGACCATGTGAGAGTATTTCGAGAGGAGGGCGAACCCACCTTGCTCTCGGCCATACCAGGGCATTTGGGGGCTACTATACTACAATGTTACATGACATGAAAAATTTAACCTTAAGTCCTGTCGTTTTGCACACTCAAATCGGACTTGACTGTGATAAACCACACTGTAACCTGGTAAGTGCAACAAACGAGAGCTTATTACTGCCTTCTCAGTCAATACCTGTAACCCCAAACTACTATACATCAACTGGAACTTTAAAAAACGGGTGCGAAATGCAACATTTTGACTTCAAGGTTGGAATATGTACAGAAAATCGAGGACACTTAGAGTTGTGTGTGACCTTTGGTCTTTAGAAATTTCCGAAACACTCCCACAGTAACATCAGACGTAAATATCCAGTTAAAAACAAGACAAACAATTTTTCATTTCTTAGACGTTTCTAAGCGCTTCCGTTTTACACTAATTGGAAATAACATTTCCCGGTTTTGTGACTCTCAAATAGGACTATAATATAAACCTTTAAACACAGACAATGATAATAATGGATAAACAAATTGAATCATTTTAGAGCTTCCTGAAGTATTTCAAGATGATCTAGTCTTTTACACAACAACTCAACCTATTTCAAAACAAAAACTCGATAGTATACAATGAGGTAAAGAGAACCTTGTAATTGTCTACAGAAGAAATAACATACTTCAATTTATATGATCGAGTAATATCACTAGCCACAAACCAATAATGTTAATATGCTATTAAATATATGAATACGTTGATTTATCAATACATTCTAATAAATTTTAAAAGAATCCCTCTTTATTGAACAAGCTCATTTCCCATTATCTTATAATCATGTAGTTCATACCTTTCAAAAACTTAATCACTCGTACTTTTCTTATAGTAAGAAAACGTCAATAATAAAATAAAACAGAGTGAAATAAAAATGGAATTAGTGATGAACAGGGTGTGATTGTAAAAAAAAAAAACTATCACCATTGGATGCCGGCTCAATGGTCCAGTTGGTTAAGCGTTCGCGCGCGAGACCGAAGGCCCTGGGTTCGAATCCCGCTCGCGGGATCGTGGATGCGCACTGTTGAGGAGTCCCACAATAGGACGAAACGGCCGTCCAGTGCTTCCAGGTTTTCAATTGTGATGGTCTAACATCAATTGGTTCAAGATCTCAATTAAAACTTAATAGTCTCCACAACCCCATACTAGAAAAAAAAAAGACTATACCGTGATGAATTGATTGTATGTGTCTATTTAGTGAACATTTCTCAAGTGAACTTCTTATCACATTCATCACATTGGAAATCTATACCTATAAGAACCGAGAAAGCAGAGATTTGGTGAAATATGTTTAACTATACAAAATGATAATCCAACTAAAAAAAAATAAGTGAATCCTAAGTGTTCGAGCTTTACAATATGTGACCAAATGAAAAGTGAGAAAGGATTACGATGTACGATGTATTAGTTGAAATTTGTGTTTTTGTTTGTTTGTTTGTTTTTTAACCTACTATAACATCAATTTATCTTTCGTCAAACAGAACTTCCAATGGAATATTATCAAGAAACATAAAGAATGATTTCAATATGATGTGTATAATCAATAATTGATGAAAATGCGCGTAAAATACAATTTCATGATAGAATATAAGTATAACCAACCAATAGAAATTACTTTCATGAGCAAACTTTACATATCCGTTTAGAATTGGATTTACAATTAAACTTTCTATCACATTGTTTACAAGTAAGTTTTATGCCTAATGAGAGAGAAAAACAAACAAACAAACAATAATTAACAAAATATATACGTATACAAATTCCATATCAATATTCAGGGTAATTAGTTTTCATTAACTCAGATGGTTGATACATGTATTATGTATGCTCGAAAGCTCCTACTTCGATGGACGATGTTGCACGGTGTAAAAGTAGGCTCAAACATATGGCATGACAAACGTAAACGAATCAGCCCATGAGGTCATTACCAAATAGATTTAGCCATGTACGTAGGTATAGACTATTCGCTCGTGGTATGAAAGATTACCGAAATCAGTGGTTGCGCACACATGGATTAGAATCGATCATAATGGCTTAAGTGTTTTTACATTTCTTCTTAACCTTATATTCTAAAGTACTGAGGTCTTGAAATACTTTTCTTCTTCCATACCTAAAACTTTTCAACTATTATTTATCATTTTGACTACTATCATTACATTAGAATTGGTCTAGATAGTCTTGTCGCCCAGCGCTAAAGTGGTGTGACAACTGAAACCCATGTATATAAGTAATACATTCCTAGCAGAGTATTAAAACTGACTACTAACTGATTGAAACATTAGAAATCGAAGAAACATGTTAAAACAATTCAAATGTCTTCAGTCTTCAGTAATAAGGATAGTAGGTTGATGAACCTGTGTTAATCCTGACACATTGCTTTCCAGTGAAGGTCCAGCTTTTCCTTGAAAGTATTCACTGATGGGCTGATACCACTCGTTCGGGTAAGGCGTTCCAATCATTGACTACTCGATGAGAAAAACGGGACTCCACTTTAAGTTTATTAGATCGTGAATTATGAAACTTCTTGCTATGACCACGGAGATTATTAGTGCTGGAGGGAGCAAAAAGATAAGACATATTAACACCCAAATCATAATTGAAGATACGAAATGCCAGTATAAGGTCACCTCGTGTCCTACGATACGACAAGGGGAAAAGATTTAGGCGTTTTAAAGGCTAATCGTAAGAGACTCTAGAAAGACCCTTAACTATTTTCGTTCCCACACGCTGGACACGCTCAAGGGAGTTAGTATCCTTTACCAGACACGAGATAGCTGCTTGGATACAGTACTCTAAATGTGGTCTTATGTAGGTGGGATATAAAATTCGAAACGCTCGGCGAAGTGACCATAACGCACGAAAACCTTTGACAGCGGCTGCTTTGCAATGCGTAGTTGTTTTTAAACCATGACTTAATACTACTCCTAAGTCTTTATGTTCTTGAGCACATGGAAGAGGTTTACCATCAATCGTATAATGGTAACCATTACCGTGACCGATGTGCATTAGTACACTCTTCCTAGCATTGATTTCTAAGCCCCACTCTCGAGCCCATCTAACTAAATCGTCTAAATCAGCTTGAAGATCCACATGATCAGCCGCACTTTTTATTGTTCTCCAGATTTTTACATCATCTGCAAACAATAATGTCGACGACCTAAGTAACAGTGGTAACTCATTAAAGTAGAGAAGGAAGAGCAGAGGGCCTAAGATGGTGCCTTGGGGTACACCACTTTTGACCGGCTTCCAATCGGATAGCGTTCCATTGACCCTAACTCTCTGTCTGCGGTCACATAAGAAATTTCCTATCCACTCATGTACAGTACCTATTATTCCGAAGCTCGTGAGCTTCTGCATAAGACCTACGTGTGAAACCTTGTCAAACGCTTTGCTAAAATCTATGAATATCACGTCGACAGACAGACCGTGATCTAGGGTTGCTGTCCAATCCTCCCTCGCAATAAGCAAGTTAGTCAAGCATGAACGCTTGTTACGAAATCCGTGTTGCTCAGGGGCTAACAGATTGTGTAAATCTATGTGGCTTAGCAACCTAACCCGAATTATCTTTTCGAGTAACTTAACGACTATGCTAGTTAGACTGACAGGCCGGTAGTTAGATACTATCTGTCGCTGACCGTCCTTAAATATAGGACTAACTATAGCGTCCTTCCAATCTCTAGGGAGTTGGGCGAGTGAAAGGGACATGTTGAAGAGTGTCGCAAGCGGTTTTGAAATAATGTCCGCAAGAGATGACAGCAACCGTGGATGTAACCCGTCAGGGCCCGGTATCTTACCAGGTTTGAGGTTAGTTATCAACGGAAGGACAGTTTCCTCAGTCACCTGTACGGATGAAAAGGATACACAAAATAACTTTTTTGATTAGAATGTATAAGGCATACCAGTTTCACAGTAGGACGTCTCTTTCAAAACCGAAACATACCTTTATGAATAGCTTTCACGTGGTTATTTACCATACATTTAGACGAAAACGTTTTACTACATTGATCACATGAATACTTTATTCCTAATGAAAAAAAGCAAGTATGAATACTGATAAATCCTTACGAAACAAATTAACAAAGGAATAAATGTCGTTATGTACTAAGGCTCGGAAGTATACATATCATCCTAGATATACATAACCATTTCAAAGAGAAAAGGATAAGAAAAAAAAGAACAATCATTCCCTTAGAAGACCTTGAACTATAATTATGGTATGAAGAGTGAAAACAATCACCGTGATGAATTGATTTTATGTGTCTAGTTAGTTGGGATTTCGTAGTGAAGTTCCTGTCACATTCATCACATGAAAGATTAATACTTATGACAACAACACAAAGATTTCTCAAAATATAATTAGTCATTTAAGACAATAATACCAGTAAAAAATAAAAGGTTTTCGGGATCTCATATTATGTGAACAAATCAAAAGATGTTAAGAGGTATTCATCAGCGACTAAACAGTCAAAAAAATTCTTGTAGAGACTTAATGAGAAGGTATGTTGCACACAACATCATAATTACCACAATGCCCTCAAATTTCCTGGCACGATCGAGGGTGGGGAGATTCCGCTCTCCCTCTCGAAATTCTCAGATGGACACGCGTATACAGCCACTACCATGGAAGTCCTACTCACTGCCTTCTCGCGAACGGGTGTTGTTTACGAAATTGACAGGACAAAGAGCGAATGCCTGTTGCTTTGACAGGGTAGGCGGATATGGAGGATCCACCGAGACGAGTTGGAAAACCTTGATTCCAAACGAATGGTACACATGGGCTGCAGGATCCTGAATGAACAAATCTCGTATAAACCAATCTTCGGTCACCGGCTACCATCGGACTGCGTCTCCATACGATGCTCCACTGCCTTGTGGGTTAGACCTTTAGGTCAAAGGCTCGGGGTGTGGCCCCCTATGTAAACCACCTGCTTCGGTCTGGGTACCCGGGCAGCATCACAACCCTCAAGCAAATCTCATTTGATTTGTGTGGCGCATAGGTATTTGGTGCCTCCTTGTATCAATATTTATGTGTTCAAATAAAATAAAATAAAAAATAATTACCACAACAACTCACCTTCATGAATAACTTTCTTGTGTTCAACTAAACGGAAACTAGTTGAAAACTTTCTGTCACATTGAATACAAGAATATTTCATTCCTAAAGAGGAAGGAAACAATAATTAAGATTATTAAATGTACTTATGAAGTTTCGCAAACCAATCATGACTGATTCAACATTAGAGATCTATTATCACATGTGTGTGAATTGTGATACTATCGAGACGCCAAAACTAAGATAAGTGATTTTGTTAGGTCGATTACTATCGGGACATATGACCTTAAGATCTAATTCACGTTAACACATCCAGTTCCCCGGGTAGCCAGTGACCAGAATCAATTTGTACACCATACATTCATTGAAGAAACCAGATCTCATAGTACAGCATTCCTTTCCAATCAGTTTTTCAACTGCTCCACGTCGACCCTCAGTATCCACAGACCCGGTTAGAACATTGGACGTTCGCTTTCCGTTTTCTCATAAAAGCATCCAAACCATACGCTTTTAGTCCGAAGAACAAGTTTAGGTGGTTAAATTACAATCACAGAGGAATTGAACTACATAATAAACTGATTTTCTGATACCAGGTCCCTATTTGTTAACTCATTTATAAACCGGTCCGTTTTATTGTAATCCATGTGCATCTATAAGTTGTGCAACATAAAAAAAAAAGTCGGTTTATCTATTACATCGAAATTTACTGATATTAGTACTCGATAAAATGAGTGAGTGTTTTTCATTCAGTCGCTAAATGACGTTTCCCAACCATTGGATCAGATAAACAGAATCAATCAATATCAAATCACTGAGACTTCTAATTATTCGACTTTTTATGTAGTAATTACCGCAAGTCGCAATATGCCGAGATCAAAATAGCAACTGTAATACATAAAGTGAACTAATGACCATTTATTTCATTGAGATCGTGATAGCTTGGGTTTTTTTAATTATTTTTCGTGTCCATCACCATGAACCCCGATCACGCACCCCTTCCAAAAAAAGAAGGAAATCAAAATACAACACTTACTACCGTCAACTCTTTATTTAAAATATTTTAATGTCATTTTGAGACATATATTGTATCTTACTGTTAACTATAGAGAAAATTAACAGTATTTAGTTTAAATCTTCAAAAGAATGGAAGTGAGGTATAAAGATGTAGATGAAAATTATGCAAAATGAACACTGTGAAAAAATGAGTATTAACATGAAAACAGACAGGTGGAAACAAATGCAATTTATTCTAAGCATCCAATCTAGTGTGATACTATCTATCATTGCAAGGTTCGGTTTTAAAAAAAAAACAACAACCCAAAACCTGACTTCAAAAGAACGAAGTATGAATCAACAACATTTAGTCTGTGGCAACATTGAAGCAAGAAATGATCACAACTTACTAAGTGTAAAAAGTAAACAAATAACAAAAAATGTGTTATCTACTTTTGTGAACGCTTTTAATATGACGGTCCCGTTCAGTAATTGATGAAAACGTCTTGTTGCAAAAACCACACGACGGTTTCACTTCTATAAATATTAAGAATTCATTGAGAAAATCCACTGTAAGAACAATAGGCGATTTGAAAGAACAGTAAAAAAGCGAATCTCCTACAGTCAAGATTACTATCAAGGTAAATTACTAAACTATTTTTTAACATGTATTAAAGAGACTAATAAAATACACATAAAAATAAATATGTATCTTAATGAACCTATCAATTGTCATAGTTTACAACTAGACGAATGAACTCTGTAAACTTTCTACATTAAATCAGATTCAGTAAACAATAATTCACACATTAATAGTTCTATTTAGTAATGAACACTATAAATTCAATGTGAAGAATATTTTCAAAGGATGAACAAATTACAATTTAGTTAGTGTGTTTCTTTCAAGATTATACCTACACTTTTCAGAATCTTGTACTGATGAAATTCAATGTCGCTTAACAGTTGTGTAGTGACTCACATTTATCACGAAAACATGACTGGTTTAATAGAAACAATTATTATTATAACCAACTGTACCAGTGCTTGTTTTAGTGTGCTTTTGTTTGACTGTGCTAATGACAGCTATTTTGTGCTTCCATTCTTTCACTTACACTTCGATTGTAACTTCGCGCGAATTCGGTTACCTTCTGTAACCAAGGTTGTATCCTGGCACGATCTCGGTATCCTTTCGATGCCACGAGATCGCCAACAAATATACACCTCGACTTGGTCCATTAATTGCCTTCTGATATTTGGCTTCTCGGAGATTTTATGGATCTATTTGGTTACGTTCAACCCTCGCCTTCTGATTTATTTGGCACGTGTTTCTTGGTAGCGGTGTTCATAGTCAATTTCGACTCGACGCCACGCTACAGTTGTACCATGATTAATACGGTTATGAGCATTAACAATGTGACCATCATTCAAGTTATATTTATGTATAAAAATGGATCATACAATATTATATTTATGTTACTAAAGAATTTAATAACGTAATAATCAGATTTGGAAAATTCATTTGAGGAAAAAAGCTAAACAGAAATAAATCTATCCATGATGTGAATCATTAAAACCATAGATGATGAAACTAATATACAAGTACCAACAGAAAGGATACAGAAGGCTTCTATAATAAGGTTCAGTCAATATATTTATCCAATATACAGATCATTAAGACTATTGTAAAAATTAAAGTCAAGATAAATCTATAGACAGATTCATTTTTCATTAGATATAACTTCACAAAGATTTTGAATGACCAACATTGAATACATTTAGAATAATATTTTAATGATACAGGTAAACAGCAGCTTTACACCATATTCCCATAGTGAACAGAATGAAAGAAATGAGCGAAATTGTTTCAGTCGTTCAAAAGTGTCATCACAAAATTCATGGTCTCAGGTATTTCCGTAGGATTTTGTCACAGTTAATTTCTATAAGAAATTTTAAATCATATTTCTTAATTAACTTTTGAATGACTGAATACATTTCGTTCATTCTTGATGTATTTTATGCTGAATTGCAAATATTGTTGTTTCTAAACCAATTTTTCATCTATCCAGAACTCAGAATCAATCAAGCAGCAGTGTACAATCTTAAATTATTCAAACCCCTAAACCATGTATAAGTATCTTGATAATAATTATATATATAATTCAACAAATTATTGAAAGTAATAAACTGTAGTAAAACTTACGTTTAAAACTATCCTTCAAATACAACGATTGATTATCTCGTAAAATTCCCAACTTGTTATCTGTTGTAACGCGAGTGTGAGACTGCAGGTTCTGATAAGCAGCGTATTTATCGATCGCTCCTGTGACAGTGGATACGTAAACACGGACGGACGACCTAGTGCCCTGATTGGTCCCGCTTCGCAGTCTGTCCTAGCCAGTTGAGTCAAGAACGCAAGTCACAGCCTCTGAGTTATGAATCATTGTATTTCAAACATACTCTATTTATATACCAAGCAAACAACCCACATCGTACCATAAAATAGGAAACAACATTTGTACAATATTTAACAAGTGAAATAAACATCGACCAATAAGAAATGTACATTTAAGGTTCAAGGACACCATTGAACTTAACATGGTAATTATTGGTCTCTTTTTCCGACTATCCCAACATTATCTATTAGGCTGTCATCCATAACGTTATCATAACTACATTCTTCCACTAAAAACAAATATATCTATAAGAATGCAGTATATATATAGTCAAACGATAGATAATATAGTCAATAACCTAATTGTTATCTATAATTGAAGATGGATTTATCACTAATAATGAGCGATCACTGAACAGTGTGTAGCCAATAACATGTTTTTCTAGTCTGTTAGTAATGATCATTTTTACAATGTACCTACTAGCTTTAACCATGACTTGCAAGTTTACTATGTTCTGATGTTAGTTGATTGCACGAAATCGTTAAGAAACCATGAATCAGACTCTTGTGTGAATTGCCACTCGACATCTGTAAGATTTACCTGCACATTCTTGGTGGGACTGATGTTTCCTGTTGGACTCCAGCCCAGGTCAATCAGTGTTAGTGACAGATACCATTACTACTGAGCCATTCTAGTCGCAACTAAAGAGCACCATATAGCACGAGACTCAAGTCTAGGGTTCCTTGGCGATTCCCTTTAATCACTTAATATTAGGACTTACTATGCATTTACACTTACGCCATATACAATGTGTTATTCCCTACTTCACTTATTTCAACCCACTCCTTTTTTAGTATTTTACTAATATTCATGCAACTATTCCCACCCTTTTATCTTCGAATTGAGGTTCACGTTAAGTGTCAGACATACTAGAATATTTTGTCCACCTAGCACAAACATGCACTAGGTCAGTTCACAGCATTACACTAGCTTACTGTGATGAAGTTAATGAGATAAACGCTAAATGAGATGGCTGTATTGTTGATCACAATATAACAAGTAAAAATATGTGGGTGACGTTCAAATACCCACAAAACAATAACATAACAATAATAATTCTGATATGTGGTATTTAAAGTAAAGTATGATTAGACAGATAGGCACTTGGCCCACTGACTATTCAATATGATTTTCTTTCCTCTAACTGAATTATACTCCGGACTCACTGAGTGACTCCTTGGATGAAGTATTATCTAATGTTAATCTGACACTTCTACGTCGCGAATACTGGATCTAATATAACGTGACTAGCTTTATTGTCGTATTAAGGTAATCACCTACCTTTTATGTAGTTTCCAAGCCCAATGTTTAAATCACTTGATATAAATTCATCTGACGATTTGCAGATCACACCATCCAACCCCATTGGTTGTTCAACCTTACAAGTAATTCCAAACAGAAGTCAGATACAGGTATTTCCATTTTACTTCAATGCTCAGACATTGGAAAGTTTATAGCAACTGAAACAAGTGACAAGAAATCTTTCAGAAAGATCCAAGTACCAGAAAGTAAATCAAATTCCTAATAAAACACCTATATATTTTGGAATACATCAATACAAATAAGAACCAAAATAAATATACGCCGCACAAGTAATACAATGAAATTGTGAACAGATGGTATTAGCATGACTGAGAATTCACCAAATTATGTTTCAAATAGGATCACATTTCAATGCATCAGTTGATCCATTTTCAGTCACTATTAGCGAACAAGCTGCAAAATCCGCAGAATTTTTCCATGTAAAACTTATATATATATATATAATTTAGTCAGCTACAAAGTCGAACCTGGTACGTATGTACACGGGTTTGAGTTACTATACCCATATATATGAATATATTTTCTACTTATATTGACCACTTACTGTTTACTGTGGAATATATTTACGTTTCTTTTCATTTTTGATCTGGGAACTAGTCGAGTGTAGTGAAGCGTCCAAAAAGAATAGTCACTAGGACGGATGAGACAACGGATGGATAAACAAATGATCAAAAAAGTAAACGAGAATGGATTATAATAGAAGACAGTTATGACAAAAATACAACTAAGTAGAATTCTTTCAGTTAAAAGAACTCTTTCATTTTCACGAAAGATGTAGAAAAAACTACAGCAGGACCACCACTGACTTCAACTCTGAGTCACACTTGATAACGTCTCAAACCACTGAGCTACACCACTTTGAAGACCCTAACCAAAAAGTCGTGATGAAACGACAAAGCCACCCCTATACAGCTCTTTAATACCACGGTAAAATTATATAAAACTGGGTTTATTGTAGTTACATATTCCATGATAACTACAATTAATTGTTCGCATACCATATATATATATATATATATATATATATATATATATATATATATATATATATATATATATATATATATATATATATATATATATATATATATATATATATATATATATATATATATATGTCATCTAAGTAGGAGTAAAAATTAGATGACTAGGCCAATTAAGATCCCATGCTGCCAATTTTGGGGAAGCCGCTATAGTAAATTTTGGTGAAATGAGACTCAAACCCAAAAATCCCCCAGACCTGGGGAAATCCCCAAAATTTCCCCAAACTTTGGGGAAGGCTATTTCACTTTGGGGATTTCCCCAAAGTTGGCAGCTCGGGATACTGAGGCCGTGCAAGACAAACATTGCCAACCCCCACGAAATATAAGTCGTATCATGAAAATAGAGACAATAAGGCGACAGTATCAAGCGGCAAGATCACAATTTAGATACGAACCAGTCACTACTATGATAGTGAGTCTTGGGTTTTAGCAACTAATCCGAATTCCTTGGTTGAATGATCATTTAACCGTATAGCTATAGAATGTCCGTTTTGGCACTATAGCTAATGTAGGTACAAGATGTAAACCTCAACTCGGGTTCATAACCCTGAGTTTTAACTATAATTCTTAATTGCGCACATCAATTTGAATCCTTATTATGACCTTATGGAGACACTTAAGTGATAGCAGTTTGACGTATTTCGTGCTCACCACCTAAGTAAATATGTAGTTGGCGTAATATGGTTATTTTTAACAATACAAAGTCAAACAAGTCAAATCACCATTTTTCTAGTCAAAAATAGATTAGAGATTGAGTTTTCATGAAAATAAGCCGTGAAAAGCATTATATATGGTTCACCTCCTTGATTATGGTGACGGCAAACATAGATGTCCGTAGTCGTTTATAAAATGTAATCAGAAAGAAGTAAGCGTTAAACTAACTATGAATATTATATAAATTGTTTGTATTTAGCCATGAAAGGTTATTTGGGCTATAGGTAGCATTCCCAGACAACCCAAAAAGGGGAAATAAAGGCGAAGAAAGGAGAAATAAAGGGGTAAATGCTTTGGTAGCGAAAGGGGAAATAAAGGGGAAAACGCATCAGAATGTCGCCTTTTTCGCCTGTCCGGGGGAAATAATGCGGATTTTCCCCTTTTTCTCGACAAATTACCGACTTATCGCCTAAATATCCGCCGAGTTGTCGCATTTTCGCCTAAATATCCGCCGAATTGCCTACTTATGCGCTTAATTGTCTACTTTAAAGTAGACGAAATTTCGCCTAAATACACACATTACCTCCTATTTGTCACTTCAGTACAAAACAATTGTTTTGTGTGTAACGTATCAGAGAAAAATTATGTGAGTAACAATTGACGTTGATAGTCTTTTTTACCGGCTTTCTGAACGTATACACCACATTAAATAAGCACAAAATCTTCATAAGTAAAACGATGGGTGTCTCTTCTGAGCATGGTGACAAAACCATGTCGTACTTAATACTGATTTATGATGTGTCTGTTATAGGGTTGACGAATAATTTTCTGTAAACGAAATGCACAATCGCAGACGAAAGTGTGAACAAAGTTATGATGCATATTGTCGAGTAATATCTAAATGGTGCTTACCAATTTCTCTTGCTAATACCAGATGTATAGACGAAATACTACAAGGGTTAGACACTGAATAAATTCCCAGTGCTTGTTACGACACAGACTTGAATAGAAAAACAACTATTAATGAGTTAATTCATGAATTCCTACTGCATTACAGACTGACTCGTCCGAAGTAATTCATGCAGACAACGTGACGAAAAGTGAATGAGCAATGGAAGCAGAATCACAAGTTCCTTGTATTCATATCTCCTTTATGCCACATTAATTAATTACATTTTCTTCATAAGTCAGACTACGCTTGTATGTTGTGACGAAACTAACTTCAGCAATTTGTAAATAACACTGATATGTGTGTTGTAAAGATTACCTATTAATTTTTATTAAAGGAAATAGAAATCTCTAATGATTAGCGCTGTCTGCAAATAAGAGACTTATAGGTACATTCTGTAACCTGCTATTTGATGGACTTATTGAATGTGATACTGATAACTAAGTCTAATTCTTTATTTCACGACTGATTTATTGTTTTTCAGAATTGTATGAATCCATTAAAGTCGCCAAAGCTTCGTGATGATGTTTACGCCGGTCTACAACTTATGGAATTTGTGATTATGGAAGACCATGTTAAAAACCGGTTTACAAGTTCACGTTAACTGTGTTCCGTATTGCATAGTAACATTTTCATTCAACTAATGAATTAGTGAAATATAAATATAGCAACTACACTCAGTGTCTTACTTTATAAACCGTGTCCGTATTTATTAATAGTCGATATGACGCTAGAACAAATATAGATAGAGAATAATATGAACTCCTTATAATCCATGGAATGAACAAGTAATAAGATGGATTATGTAATAATTCATTTCACTTTTAAAATTTAGTTACCCATTTATTCCAGCACCCTGTCACTTACATCTGCTCACTTAATCCTCTGTAATTATGTGACCTCTTCAGATTGTAATCAATTATTACGTAACCCAAGTTTTCAGTTCTTAAATCCACGGATCATTCATAAGCTATAAGATTTTCGCACCACTTATCTGTCTGTGAACTCCAGTCCACTATTACACCACCCATTCTTAATGTGTTATTGACTGCAAAAACAAATGACCTTTGACCTTAAACTGCACATATATATGTGTATATAGTCATTATTGATAACCTACGTCATTTCAATTATTCATATTCAGGCATATCAACTGTTTCCCACATCACTGTTAAATCCTAATGCATATTTAGTTATAATGAGTGCATACCACTGTTAATCAACATTTCTCCTGGTTTCATTTTAATTCATAAGCGGAACTAATCACATGAAATTAAAATCAACTTAGCTACTGATACGATTTTCATGATAAACGTAATCCGACGAAGATGAATACGATATGTGGGTGCCTAATCTGCAAGACTGTACGTGGATATAGGGATTCTTAATTATTACAGACAGTTAAACATGAACATTATTGCTATTCATTCCCATGAAAGTAGGAATAAGATGAAAATTAAAATTATGAAAGTTTATTGAATAATCATTGCTGCTAAAGCAGAAAATCAAGTTTACAAGTTGGTATTAAGAATTCTTAAGTAATAATTGTCCACTTTCTTCTCAACCTACGTTGCGAAACTTTCACCATACTTCTCAATGATGCGATGCTTATGGATTCTTTGGCTTCGTTGAATACTTATATACACTTCACTCCGTCGTGGTAATGCAGTTAATGTATAATTTTGGAAGTTCTGGGTATTATGTAACTTCCATCTGCTACAATACCTAAGAAGTTGATGAGCTTGTGGAGATAAGTCTGACAAGCTTATTTTGTAAATAGTTTTTAATATTATTTGTATTTATTTTGTCAATTTCTCACCGCATGTACATTTATCATTAAATGATTGTACCTATTGTTTAAGTAAATGACCTTGAAGACTTTTTCCGTTGTAATTCTAACAGCGTGACATACTCTTGGTTGTTCGCAAATACACTACTACGCACATACCCATTGTTCTATTCTCGCTCGTTACCAAGTCAATTGCGTTCTAAACTGGATATTATCCACATTTTAGACTGCCGTGCCATTTCCATTATATCCTACGTCAAAGAAACTTATTGACTTCATATTTACCTCAGTGGAATTATTATTCATTTATAATTGTGGATTGTTGAGACCAAAACTCAACAGAATACGCAACGACTAGCTGATTTAAGTAACGTCCCTGAACTTTTAATTTGTGTTGTTAATTTATAAATTATTGTTGTTACATTAACTTTCGGACGTAATAACTTTATCGCTAATTTTTGGTTATTATACTTTTTGGTCCACCACAAGCTATGCAGTTAGTATTTCATAATTGATATAGCTTACCTGTAAGATTTCGTCTTTTAACGTAGGCTCACAGTGAAGTATTACGGGCTTCAAGTTCTCTTTTTCTTCTGGCGATAATCTCC